GCTTAATTGGAACTAAACATAAAGCTAGAGTATGGTGGAGGAACAAACCTGTGCCCTCTTATGTCTTAGAGGAGAGCTGAATTGATCTATCAAAATGCTCCAAACAATAGGGCCATGAAAGGCTATTCTCTCAGCATTTTTAAATTTATTTTTTTTTTCTACCTTATGCCTCTTTCAGAGACTGGGGATGGAAAAGAGAGTTTGAACAGCTAATTAAGCAGTCAAAATTAATCGGCTGCTTTCACATAATGTTCAGACCAAATTAAAAGCATGACATCTTTGTTTTTTCCTAGTTTGGTAGTGACTTTTCAGAGTTACAAACAGGCTAGATTGCATGTGTGTATTTTTATTCTGTAATATGAAATACCAGGGAGAAGGTAGATGTTAGCTGAAGTGAGGTGGCTAGAAACAATGGTAGTGCAATCATCATTCCTTGTATTTCCTGCATGATAAACCAGTTTATCAGAAAGCAATTGGTACTATACAATGATTCACGTGAGCTTATGAGATGGCTATTGCCTTTAATTGGAAGGTTATCATTTTTTTGCAGTGACTGTGTTGATTCACTTGTTTAACTTACTGTCTTATGTTTCAATATAAATTGGCTTACCTGTGACAACTGTTTTGATAGTTGTACATGTTACTGTCTTGAATGCTGCAGTAAGATGCCGCACTAATTCTGCCCAGCCTGAAAGGGAGTAACAACATACATGGTTAGTGGGAATGCCTAATGAAAAAGGCTTTTTACATAGTCCTTTTTTAAAATGTTCAAGATAGTTAGTCCAGTATAAATGAACTTACACTAGATAATGGTTGCAACCTCAGCGTTGTATGATCTGTCCCTGTCATGAACTTTGAAAAAGTTTACTGGAAATTATTACAATAGTAAATGTGTTCATGGTAAGAAAAACTGTCATTTGCTCTGTAAGTGGTAGAATGTTACAGTTTCAAATTTATTGTGAATTTTTCTTGTGGTTTAATTATTTGATAATGCACTTAATCACAGTCCTTGTAGGAAGCGTGTTAGCTGTCTTGCCATCTTTAGTAGGCTGGCTTTTCTTACTAGTGTTATTATGATGCTTTTTTATTTTTTCTGGTTTAAAAGAGGGACTGATCTGAACGCTCACATGACTGAATTATGCTATTGTGAGTTTGTAGATATTGGCTAGGACTGTTTTTGTTTTGTACACAGACACATTAATGAAGATTATCTAGCAGCATATAGATTTCTCCTCTAAATCTATGAGAATACCCAGCATCTGATAAATTATTTGGGGGGGTTAACTGAAGTATTTTCTTAATAATATGCTCCAAACTTAGATGTTCTGGCCTTTCAGCATGGAGCTGCTGTCTTTCTGAGAGGGTGAAAATTCCTACTTACCAGAAGGACCTATGTATTTGTAGTGCCCAAGGCTGCTAAATGGGCCTTGCCTTTTCATATAGGATGAAGTTCTCACATTAAACTCCATAAAAGTAGGAAAATCTCACTCATTTCTATCCATATGAAGCCACCCATCTAAGAAACTTTCATAGTATTTTCCTCAGCAGATTTTTATGGAAGTAGTTCCGTTGTATAACTTCTATGCATACTAGTTTGAGCTTGATTCAGAAGTTCAAGTGAAGCAGTTGTGTTCTTACGTTTGTGAAGATGCATGAAAATGTCTTATCAAGGTTTTCTTTCTTCACACAAAAAATGGGGTGGGGCACATTAGTGGATCTTTTTTTATTCAGCACACAAATGTGAAAAGAACAGGCCAAAACCATTCTCTAATGTCTATTACAAACTGCAGTACTACTTCTCTTCAGATTAAGAAAATCTTTTCCTCATTTTTTCTATTTATATGCTGCCATGTTGTGAATTTACTGAACAGTTTAAATATCATCTAAAACTCTGAAAGATAATTTTCGTATACACTTGTAGAATGTGTTAGTGACTTGTTTACATCAGAGGAATTTGGATGTGCTCTATTAGGTTTTCAGTCTTGCTTTTTTTTTTTTTTTTTTTTTTTAATCCTGAGCTTCTAAAAAGTGGGTGGTATGACTGTTGAATGAATTATATTTACAGTAAGTTTCTGGGATCTGATGGCCTTACTCTCAGGTAGTGTGATCTTGATCTCTGCTTGACAGTGGGTTATTTTTGTACTTGGTATGTGAGTGTCTAGAATGATTTCTGGTGGGGGAGGGGTGTTACAAGGATATGAACTTGGAATTTCTCTGATAACTGCTGTGTCTGTAGCTTGGACATCTATAAAAATTGAATTAATTATTTTCTTGAGAACTTCAGCTTTGCGCCCTGAAGGAGTTTTGCAATGGGTAGTAATTACTGTTTTGTATGTATTATAAATCTGATTAAATTTCCACATAGAAGTGGCTGTTTTGGAAATAGCTGCCACAGAAATGCTTAGCTGAATTTTTTTAATTACTGCTGGAAAGTTTCATGTGGAAAGGACTGTCCTGATATCTCTGGGTGTTATGCCTGCATCTCTGAGTCAGATGTGTGCATAAGGACAGAGAGACACATGACACAGGCTCCGTATGACATTATTATATTCTCTGATAAATGTCAAATGTTTTTTTTTTTTTTTTTTTTTTTTAATCCTGAGCTTCTAAAAAGTGGGTGGTATGACTGTTGAATGAATTATATTTACAGTAAGTTTCTGGGATCTGATGGCCTTACTCTCAGGTAGTGTGATCTTGATCTCTGCTTGACAGTGGGTTATTTTTGTACTTGGTATGTGAGTGTCTAGAATGATTTCTGGTGGGGGAGGGGTGTTACAAGGATATGAACTTGGAATTTCTCTGATAACTGCTGTGTCTGTAGCTTGGACATCTATAAAAATTGAATTAATTATTTTCTTGAGAACTTCAGCTTTGCGCCCTGAAGGAGTTTTGCAATGGGTAGTAATTACTGTTTTGTATGTATTATAAATCTGATTAACTACAAGCTGTAAATGACTAGTTGAAACACTGTGAGTTAAATCAGTCTTGCCTGTTCTTCTATTTTGTCTCCTTTTGCTCTCAATATGAGAGGCAGCAAGCCAAAAAGCAGTCACAGAGAGTAACCAGTGTGGTGGGCTGATTTCCTCTCTCTGTGTCATCTAGAAATCACTTGCTTGAAAGAACACTAACTTGCATGGTAATTGGTTGTAGACCTTATGTCTTCATTACTGCTTCAGAGTCTAGAAAAACATTGGATGAAATAAGATTAATGGGTTTTAAATTATTTCATGGTTATCCAGACACACTAGATAGAATGCTACAGCAAATAGATGGTCTTTGTTTTAAAACAAAAGTGACTTCATTTTGTCATTATTTTTCCAAACCAAAAGATAAATAAATGGCTAACAGTATTCTGAGCTACTTGTATTTTGGCTATGCCTTGCTGCTTTCTCTGAGAGTATAATTAGGGAGAGATTAACTGTTGTCACTGATCTTTTTTTATCCAAAGTTGCTCCACAACTTCTGAGGTGTAGTCTCAGCAGCACATGCAGGAGGGAAAGAGTTTTTCCTGAGAACTGACAAACCAGCTGTGCGTGAATTGTTTTATGTTATAAGATGGAAGATCTGGTGTTTTAAAATAACTGGATCCATTCCTAGGTTGTAAAATACTCAACCAAAATTAATGAGTAATTTTAATATTTAATTATCATAGTAATTAATAATGGTTGTGGGATATGCAGGGGCTTTTTTGCTTCATCCATTCACTGTGGTACACTTTCACATGCTTCTAAGAACATAGTTCTAAAATTTTATATTTATTAGATCATGTTGTACAAATATCTCGCTTTAAGGCTATCATAATAGTCAAACAGGATAGAAAGTCAAAACAGATGGGATTGGAATATCCTACTTGGAATAAGCTAAATTACTTGGAGTGGTATGGGAAAAGGAGCAAATAGTCTTTCAGATATTGAAATTATTTTTTCTAAGACCTGTATCCAAGTTCTGTTTACAGTGAAAAATAAAATGCCAGCTTTTCAACTGTTACATTGTTGAAATAATAATGCTAAGATTTCTTTCTCTTTTATTGCATGAGTTTGTAAGGGAGGAAGGATAATAGAGAAAGTTATGCCAGTCTTTCATACAGCAATGCCTACTTGCAAAAGATGTGATCTCCATTGTTATGCATATAAAAGTATAAATCTTAAGTTCAGAAGTGGTACCAGCAGAGTCTAAAGGCTTCCCTGGTTTTATGAATAAATACTGTGATTTTTTTTAAAGAAGCTTGAAAGGTGAGAAAGCGGACTAAGGAATACAGGGTTCATACTTATTAACAAAGGTCTCTGTGGTGAAGACTTATCTGGTAGGATGTGTATTAATATTAGAAATACCAGTTTACCACAAGAAGATAGTTCTCTGGTGGCTTGCACAAATCTGGAATTCTTACTGTTCAAGACAATCCAGAATGCTTTGGATTTTTGCTTCTTAAGCACAGTTGTTAACTAGAGAAGCTATTAATGATTTGTGCATCACAGTCTTCTGTACATTTATCTAGGGAAATTGCATTTGGAATATGTGATAGAAGTGAATGATTAAGTATAATTGCAAAGAACTTGATGTGTTGATTGAGTTTTCCCAGTTCACTGATCTTTTTGGCATCCTTTAGTGGTGCTGACTTGAGAATATTGCTTAGTAATAGCAAAAATTACTGAAAAAAATTGTCATTTTCTTTTTTACCTGTAATGGAAAAGTCTGACTCTGTTGTGTTATATTTCATTTTTGGTGTGAAGTCTTGCAAGAAGAAACATAATTGGGTTTTAATGTCCTAATTTGAAGCTTTAATGGGAGGACTAGATATTGAAGAAGGTAACTGCTTCATTTATCATAGGGGTTTTTTTTTGTATAGTTGACATCTTAACAGTGGTAGTAGTTGTACTCTGGACTGTTTTTTGACTTTGGTAAATATTAGGACAAGTTATATGTAATCTATGTTGCATTAGTGAATTAGATTTTTCTTACTTGGTTCGTAAATCTAATGCCACCCACTGTCTTTTCCTAAACAGATTGTTACAGGCAGAAGTGCCGCTGACATCTGAATCCTGGAACTTGCTTTCAAGAGCTTGAAACAAAGGACTTCTTTCTAATTTGGGCATGGCCAATCGAGGAGCAACAAGACCCAATGGGCCAAATGCTGGAAGTAAAATTTGCCAGTTCAAACTAGTACTTTTAGGAGAGTCTGCAGTTGGCAAATCAAGTTTGGTGCTTCGCTTTGTAAAAGGACAGTTTCATGAGTTTCAAGAAAGTACGATCGGAGGTGAGAAAGTTATCCCAGTGATTTCTTTTACATTGAGTTTACATTATCCTTTCCCTTAGTAACCTTGAACGTAATGGCACATCTAGAATGGGTCAGTGACAGCAAGGTTCAAATCTGAGCCTTGTGTCTCTCATTGAGACCTGTAACTTTCTGAGCTAAAAGTTGTAGTTTGCACAAGGCTGTAGCAAACATCTCTGTCAAGTGGAGAAAGCAAATGTGACTTGAACTGGATTGTTTTGAAACGGAGCTTAATGTTACATTTTGTTTGTGGATGGATGTGTGGCTGTTTTAGTTGTGCTGTATGCTTAATGCATTAAATAACTGCTCAATGAGAATTAAGAATTGAGTTTCTCTGAAAACAAAGTGCTGTATCTTCCAGGAAGTTTTTGTTGTCATTAATGCATCCTGGTTTTGCTTTTGATTTGGCAGAACTTGCTACATTTCTGGATATAGAATTTAATGTGCTGGTTTCACATTTTGAGACTTCGGGCAGAATGGGTGCTAGCTACTAGAATTTAAAAAAAGTAATCTGTTTAACTGTGAACAGAGTTTTTCCCTCTCCAGTCAGTTTTATTCTGTTATATTGTTTTTCGAAGTTGTGTTTTGACCTGCGTTCCTCCTTGGATAAATTTGAACTTACCTGAAAACATACAGACTTAAGCAAATTATGCATTTTATGGATTGGTAAATATTCTCTAGTAGACCCTGTTGCTGCTTGCATGAATCAGTGTGTTTCATTGTTATGTTTGTGAAGCCCTTTCAGTGGTGTGTAGGTGTCTTTGCATATGAACACTTGTTGAAATGTAATAAATCTCCAAAGCTTGCAATAATAAGTACAAGCTGAATTTCATTGCATTGCTTTATTCCCCTATTTCTAGAAGTTAGGTGTATTTGTTTTGTGTATCTGTCAGCATAAATGGAGAGCTACTTTTTTTTCCTCCTTTAGGAGTCTTACTAATGCTCGCTTCTGGTTTTGTGCATTTTATAATGGCTTTAGAATAGATGTTAAGTGTGAAAGGTTTCTGTATTATCTCCTACAGCTGTATGGTAATATGGAGAGCATACTCAAAGATCTGTAGTGAATTACCTTCCCAATATCAACATGGTTTTTAATTAAGTGAAATTCGTTGTTCAGTTGCAATAGGAGATCAGCGTTCTCCAATTCATTTAACCATTTAACCCACTTTTTTGGTTTTTCTTTTTTTAGTGTCTGGGTAGAACAAGGGATAACAGAAACCCTGCTACACTGTCTAAGATTTATACAAGGTTAAACAACAGCTTAAGTTCAAGTTCATATATGTGGACTTTAGTGTAATCTCTATATTACCTTATGCCTGTTCCATATAAAATAGAAACAAGGAAATTCCATATAATACAGCAGAGAAATACTAAATGCAGCAATGTTGGGATTCAGAAAAAAATTTCTATAGAGAACACTGTCTAACACTAGCTTGTAGCTGCCTTAGGCATAATTTTTTTTTCTATACAGAAGGGCCTTTTAACAAAGAGAAGCTTATGTGCATCGTGGATCTGAATAAAAACATCTGAAAGAGAGCACAGTTAAAGGCAGGTGTGTTAGGTGGTGGTGGTATGGTTTTGCCACTTCAGACTAGTGTAGCAATGCCTGTTGGGTGCTTAAGACAAAAGTATGATTGTTAAGGATGATAAGCTTTTAGATAATTACCAAAGCTGATTAATTGTCAATTTATTATGGCCTTGCAAGATAGAAGAAAGTTACCTTGTTTGTAGAAATTAACTGACATTTTGTGGTGGTTGAAATGTTGCTTTCAACAAAAAGAGCATGTCATAGAATAAAACTCTTGTTTTAATTCTCTTTTGGGGTATGTTCCTTTGTTTATGGTGTGAAAGTACATTCTTCTGTTGAAGAGAATGTAAGAACTTCAAACTCCAGTTGTTTAAGGAAGCCCTTAGTCTGATGCACAATGTATGGTTTTTTCTCTTTATTTTGATTCTGGACTGCCTGGGGAGCTACCAAGAGGAGCCTGTTTTACTACTGATTGGATATTTAGCATTTAGAGAGATTTATGGTGATTTAACATTGGAAGATCAAAGTCTTTACCTTCTCGACTCTGCCTGCTCATCTGTGATGGATGTTAATACCCCTGAAGCAGGAGCACCTGACCACTTAACTAGTCAGCTTCTGTATATTAGTTACAGTGCCCTTTGTAAAGCAAGATTGACTTGCTTTTTCTTTACTGTAATTGAGTTGAAAGTTGCAGCAGTTTTGGAATTATTCATAGGCTATGATGTCTTAGAATATGTGGGACAGGGTAACATCCCAGGGGTGCAAAGGTTATGGGTCATTGTCTCTTGAGAGATTAGATTTAGATCAGCTACTATCTGTTGGTATGTTCAGTGATGGGAGTCCCCTCCCGTTCAGCCAAGTAGAGGGGTTTCTCAGTGTTTCTTCTAGCAGAAGGTCTTAACATTTTATTTTTTTTTGTTATCATTGATTGTGGAAGGAGCAAGGGCAAGCCAGTCTACAGTATTTCACTAAGCGTATGTTGTGTCTGGAAAAACTACTCCAAGCATTATGCTGGATTGCACAAACTTTCATCTGAATTGTTGGAGTTGTTTAATTTTCTGCAGTGTATTTGCTGTAACTGGGCAAACAACATGACTATAAAGCAGATGATCCAGACAGCTTGTCAGACCGCTATGATAATTGTGTGCTTTTTTTAAACTTCAAAAACTACAGTAGAACAGGTGGATGAGTTAAGACTTAAAGGGTTAAGAGAACCCAGTAGAAGGAAATCTTGCTTTTCAGTGTTGTTCCTCAAGAAATTCTTGAGATTCTAGCTTAGTTTTGTAATATGGGTTTCTATATTTTGTGGGTACTCACCTCTGTATTTCTAAAATGTACCTTAATCTGATTTGGAAATGTTTACAGGGAGTAACTGAAGACTTGAAATAAGTTACTTGAAATAAGATCATTGTTTATGATAATGCATTCAGCTCTAGTGGCAGTGATACAGGTTTCTCTGAAACTGCAGGCTGTCAAAATGATGCTGAAAATAATTTTTGAGATCACTTGCAAATTCAAAAAAAATGTCTGCTTTAAGAAAAAGAACTTCTGAGAAGTGGTTCTTTCTTTCATACCAATTAGCTGAGGTGACATTGTCAGGAGCTGAAAATCAAATCTTTAAGATATTATTTAAGTAATGTAAATGTGTAGAGCTGTAAATATCTGAACTAGTGGATTATAGCATGATGGGATATTGTTACTGGTATTCTGTGTAGTCTGTTGAAGAAGGGTGAAATGTATCTAGAAGAACTAAGAGAAGGCTTGTGCTTGTTCGAATTAACTATTACAAAAAAAAAAAAAAAGAAGTATTTCCAGTGGTTACTTTCTTAAGTCTTTAACTTGAAGAAGAGTGAGTGTTTAAGTAACTGTTCTGTTACGGTCTATAAGCTAATGCTTGCTTCAAACCTGCTATATTTTAATAATGGGTTTGAATTGTTTAAGGAAATTATATTTGCATCTCCGTAAAAATTATTTTAAAATAATATAGAGATATAAGCAGGCTTCTGGTTTCAGCACCTCTGTCTTTTTTGTAGCTGCTTTTCTAACCCAGACTGTATGTCTCGACGATACAACAGTAAAATTTGAAATTTGGGATACAGCTGGGCAAGAGCGGTACCACAGTTTAGCACCCATGTACTACAGAGGAGCACAAGCAGCTATAGTGGTATACGACATTACAAATGAGGTAAGCACTCTATTAGAGAGGCACAAGGGGGATTTGGAACTTACCAGTCTTACATTGATCTTTCTTTAATTTTTCTCATTGAGTTATGTGACTCAATACATCATTTCGTAGCGTCATAGAATGGTTTGAGTTGGAAGGGACCTTTAAAAGTAATCAAGTCCAACTCCCCCTGCCATAAACAGGGACATATTTCACTGTATCAGGTTGCTCATTTCATACTGGACTAGCTAAATTGTATTTTTTTTTAAGTGAAAGAAAATTATTTTCTCGAAGTGTTTCAAACCCACCTTTAAGTCTGTTAGCCAAACTTGAGCTGTTACTCTCACAACTTTGCTGGTGGCCATTTATTTCTGATAATGAAATACATTACTTTAATATGGTATTATTGCAAGTTAACGGTAAAGATTTGAAAAGTAGCACAAGCCATTGAAAGCCTGAGGTTGTTTGATTTCCTTTTTATTTGAACTTACATCAGGTAAGCTTCACTTGTTTTTGATAAAGTGAGACTTAAAACCCAAAACTCTCTGAAAACCCAGAAATCTTGTACTATAATGAACAGTGCTCCGTAATTAGAAAGTGTTTTGAGACCCTTTCAATACAGCTGTTCATAAACTTGATTCTTCTAGGGGAGAAATAAAAACTTATGTTCTCTCTTAACTACTTCTTTTTCCTTACTCTGTTTATGTAAAGATCTCCCTATCTTTACTTACCACATTATCCAACTAAGCAGATTTAAGATCTAAGGTAGGAATTTTTCATTTAGAAAGCTTAATTGGCAAGTCAGTGTGCCTTTGGACAAAGGTAGCAGCCCTATATAGGTAACAGAGATTGGGATAATAGGTGAGTACAAAAGGATGATAAAGCTCAGTTGCATCATGTTGCAATCATTAACAGGAGTCCTTTGCCAGAGCGAAAAATTGGGTCAAAGAACTTCAGCGACAAGCAAGTCCCAACATTGTAATAGCTTTAGCTGGAAACAAAGCGGATCTAGCTAACAAAAGAGCTGTGGATTTCCAGGTATGTAAATAACTTCTGTTTAGAGAATTTTGTTGGAATAGGAAGTAAATAAACCTAGGAAGAACGTATATGCATAGCATAGCTAATTCTTAGAGAGGTCATGCTGTTTAATATAAATATCAACTGAGATTATTTAAATTATACATGCTACTGAAAAATCTATTTCTGTAGAATTGTTATGTAGCAATAGACTTTTTTGAATAATGGTTAGACTTTGAGGAATAACTAATTTATTTGCATATCTTTAAGCCTAATTGAATTTCTGTTCTTTGAAGTGATGTCTTCCTGTCTTTTGCTTGAAATTACCAATAACAAGTTTCAGTGGATGAGATCGCAGTAGCTCTGAGTTCAAACCATTTTCTGACTTGTCAGCAGGAGAATTTTGATTATTGGATAATACAAACCTGATTGATGTGCTTAACTTGCTTAGACTATACTGTTAAAGCAGTGTTCAAGTTTTAATTGTGCTTTTCATGGCATTCTTTTTGGTTCAGTGGAGATACCTGTGCTTTCACTGCTGTATTTTATCTTCTAGAAAGTTTAACAAAGTAAACAGAAAATGGCTTCCAAAATCAATTACTCAAGTGGTTTTGGTCTATTCATGATTGATTTAATTTTTCTTAAAACTGTATCTATTAGTCATTAATTCTGTTATGGTTTTAGTCTGTATTTGGTGTTACGGTATAAGATACTGCTGTGTATAGTAACTATAGGTGTCAGACTGAAGTTTAGCGGTGATTTCAGTATTTTTCTGCCAGAATTCACCACCTTGGTTCTCTTAATTTTATGCATCCGTGTCAATTAAAACATAAATCTATATGGCAGAGGACCTTGGTGTTTTACAAAAAATAAGGTATTTAACAGAAATTTCATATATGTGTGCAGTTAAAAACCCCAATCACCGAAAATTCAATCACTGAAGTAGGGCTACCTTTACTATTTTTTGAACCATTACAATCTTAATATTTTTCAAATGTTGTTGGGGTTGGTTTTTTTTAGTGTGGATTTATGGGCTTCTGGCAGGTTTGACAATCCGTTCTCATTACAAAGCACACTTTAGATTTCTAGGTATTAGTGTGTTATTTCAGATGCAGCTACATAGATAATGAATATAGAATGCTATATGTAATTTTTTTCGTAGGTATTCGATAGTTTGCCTTTTTGCAGATTTCATATTGGCTGCAAAGGCACTTAATCATCTGAGAAGCTGGGGGTTCTCAGCTGAACTGGCTAACAGGAAGTGGCAAAAATAGGAAGCTTTTTATCAGCAGTGTATTTCAGATTGAATTTCAAACTGAAAAGAGAGATAATGTGGAAAGGTATTTAAAACCGGTTATTTGTTTTATAATTGTGAATTTCTGTTAGTATAATTAAACTGTTCTGATCCATCTGCCTCAATGATTGAAAGATTCAAGATAGTTCACCAACTACCGTCTTTTCAGTATAATAAACTTTCTGACATTTGATGACACTTCCTTATTTGTTCTTGCCATTACAGCTAGTGTTCTGGATCAGGTTTTTCTTTTTAGATAAATGTTTTTATTTATCATATAGTTTCACCTGAGATTTTTCTGTCTGGGTATTTTTGAAGTTGAGTATGGTTTTTAAGATTGCATTTCTAAAAGTTCAGCTGCTTAATGGAATCGTAACTTCTTCATAGCTGTTGAATAAAACATTGTCACATGAGTGTTTCAACAAGCATTCTCTCTTTGAAAATATGTCCCTTAGTAGCAATGAAAGTAGAATGTGCAATTATTGTGATTTTTAATTTTATATTTTTTTTTAAATTAAGTAATGCATTCTTACTGTAACTTTCAGGAAGCACAAGCTTATGCAGATGACAACAGCTTATTGTTCATGGAGACGTCTGCCAAAACATCTATGAATGTAAATGAAATATTCATGGCAATTGGTGAGTTTATTAACAAATTGTGAAAATGTAAGGGAATTGTTTTAATGAGATTCATACCATTATAATTTTCCAGACCCAAGATATTTGTTTTTCACCTCAATTATTTCTGGCACTAAAGTTTCTTTGGGCCCTTTCATAGCCTCTTTGATGTTCAGAAGTCAGATAAACTTACTTCACAGTTGCACAGGTCTGCTGTCAACACCAAGCCACTTAGAATTAACTTGGAATAGCTAAGCTTGGTTACTTTTGAACTCTGTCAGGAAGTTGCACGCGCCTGTTTTGATGAAAAATTGTACTGCTTCAGATTCAAGCAAAATTAAGCTTTAGTGGTTACATAAAAAACCCCCTCCTTTCCTGTGGTATAGGTAACTGTAGAAGGTGTTACACAGCTTTTCTTAGTTGTAAGATGTACTTGGCATTTGTTAATCAAATTAGCATAAGAATGTAAGTGAAAGCATATAACTTGCCTTTTGGTGGCAGGTTACTTGCAGCAGATTCCACACTGCCTTGGATAGGTGCAGAATCTGGAATAATGTACCTTTTATGAGACAGTGGTAATTGAAGTGGGAGAATGGTAATGGGCTTGCTTAAAAAAAGTCAAGTATTTGTTTTAGTCAAAACAAAATATTTGCTAAATACACTTCAGTGTAAAAAATTTTGTTTGAATTTCAAACTCGCTACCTCAAATCCAAAAAAATTGTGCCAAAGATGACAGTTTGTACCTATAGCCAAAGTCCAAGTATAAGTAAAGGACATTTGATGTGAAAAGTAAATTTACTAAAATATTTTTAGCCCTAGTATAACCTTAGGGATTTCTGTAAACATACTAACATAGAATAGTATGTATAAATTATTAAGAAATTTTGTTATTTCCATTAATAGGCACAAAATTGTATTTCATTGTTAATAACATTTTTAAAGTGGAGGAAAAATCCTGCATTTTTAGCTTGGTCACCAATCTATTTAGTAATAACCTTAAAGACAGTAGTGGCTCTGCTACTGGGCAATAGTAATGTATAGTGTCAAATAACCTTATTAATGCTGTTGAGTATTTTGCACTAAAATGACATCTCTGTCCCACCTCTTTTTGTGAAAAACAGCATGGCTATCAAAGTTGAATGTTTCTAAATAGCTCATATAGTCTGCTTTCTAAGTCAGTAAAGCAGAAGGTAATTTGTGGTGTGGTTCAAACTTCCAGCAGATGTAAATGAAATTATCACTATAGCAACCCTTTATAACGAGTACTTGCTTCATATTAAATAAAAATACTTGGGAGAGGAACACACAATTGTGAGTGGAGTATATCTTTTTCTCATAAAAACTTGAGGTAGGGCTGCATTTAATGATACAGAAATACTCAATTACGCTGTTCTGTTGAAAATTCAAAATTAATTTGTTTAAAGGTACAGTTTGCATCTTGTTAAAAAAATATAATTCCTAAAATTTTGTAATTTGGGCTGTAATTTATGTCAACCATAATTCAAAAGTGTTTGGAAGACATTTTTCTCTGGTGTGTTGTCCCTTTGTTGTCTCAGCAGCTTAGTACCATGTGAACACTTTGTTCTGTCATAGAATTGTAGAACAGTCCAGATTGGAAATGACCTCAAAAGATCATCTGGTCCAACCTTTTGTGGAAAAGAGAGCCTAGATGAGATGATCTGTCACCACAGCACATCTTGTTGTTGTGTACTCTGCTGGTTTTCTGGCTGCTATACTTGCATTTCATTCCTTTTTAGAAGAAGTTGTTCTTTAGAAAGCTCGCCAAATTAATTACTTGATAGTCAAAGCATGCAACCAAACTGTAGAACTGGGATGGTTCAGTCCTGGTAATATGGGCAAGAGAGCCCCACAGAAATCCTTTTGTGTAGAATTTAGCAATTTCCTGATGGAGAGAAAGCTATGAGGAGGTACTGCTCAGAAGGGTAACATTTGTCACCCTTATTTTTTTATGTCAGGACTGAGGAGGTACCTTGGAGTTAAAAGAATGACAAAGAAATTATCACAGTCAGTTAACTCCTAAAAGCTAGAGAGAAGAGACAGCTTAAAAAAAAAACACAACAGAAAAGAGACTTAATCTAGTGCTAAGGTCATTTTATATGTTGTATGCGAGTACTTGTTTGGGCTAGATAGCTTGGCAGAGGTTTGACCCATTTCTGCCTGTTATGTGCCTTTCCAGTCTTTCTGTATCTTTCAGCACTAATATCCTGATCTTAAAGCCTGTTTGTGTAGGTGGATTACCAGAAGAGCCATTATTTACTGGCATAGCATACCTGTGCAGATACATTTTACTGCTAGATTTACTAATGCATTTCACTCTTGAAAATCATAGATAAGATAGTCGAACATTAAGAAGTTAAGTGTCTTAACTTCTTTTATTACCAGTATACTAAATGAAATCAGATAATATAGTGATTATATCGATATGCTTATAGAATAATAAAGTGTTGACTGTGTGAATTCAGGTGATTTAATCCTAGTTCACTCTCAGTTTTAACTTTTATTTATTGTTGATTTTATAGCAAAAAAATTGCCCAAGAATGAACCACAGAATGCAGGAGCCAGCTCTGCCAGAGGAAGAGGAGTAGACCTTACTGAACCCACACAACCACCCAAGAGTCAATGTTGTAGTAACTAAAACATCAATTGCTTCAAACTGTTCTGAATATTCTTCTGCTTCCTAACTGTTAATAACCATGGAATTGGAGTGCTTAACCTGGCCCAGCACAGCTTCCAAACACCGGAGAGACTTATGATAATAGTCAAGTTCATGATACAGAGTTTACTTTTGACCTAAAATTTTAACATGCATGTATCCACCACTGGCTGTAATGTTTCAGCAATAGAGGAGAGATGGAAGCGGAATAAACTTCCTCCAGTTGAAAGGTTTTGAAAATCACTTTCCATTAGGGGTGTAGAAGAACTACTTTCTGTGGACCTAATTGGCCAGTTCCTGTAGCCTCAATACTGATTGCTCTTATAATAAATAGAATTGGGACTTTTTGTAATTCTCAGTTGTGCTTTAAAACCTTTTTAGAAACATGGTCTAAAAATTACTTAAACTTATTCACAGTATTGACGCAACCAATTGTTTCTGCAGGTATCCATTGTTTAGTTATACATTCCATAGTTTAATAATATAATTACAAATAATACTTGCATTAACAATTTTAAGAACCCTATGCTTGCAGGAAAGTGGAGTTTTAGTTGTTACACTGTGTATGTAAATTATATCAACCCAGTTACTTAGCTAAATGAATTAGTGATAAATCAAGTTTTAACTTAATTTCTGATCTGTCCAGAGGGTACAGACCAGTTAATTCAACTTCATAGAATCAGAATGGTTTGGGTTGGAAGGGACCTTAAAAACCATCTAGTTCCAACCCCCCTGCCATGAGCAGGGACACCTTCCACTAGACCAGGTTGCTCAAAGCTCCATCCAGCCTGACCTTGAACACTTCCAGGGAGGAGGCATCCACAGCTTCTCTGGGCAACTTTATGACTTAAATTTTCTTTTTTTTCTTCTACAAACTGTAAGAGCTCTTCAAGTAAAACCACAACAAACTTGGTGTCTGTGACTTATTTCTTGGTTTTGATCATTGCTGGCCATTACAGTTTCTTTCTTCCCTGAAGGAGAAAAAATAGTGCACTAACAATTATGTACATCCAATTTGATTTTAAATTTGGATATTAATGTACTGTAAATAGGTACTCTGCATTGTAGTCTACATTTGTTTAAAATTTTCTGTAATATTTAAGAGTTGCTTAAAGGTATACAGAATGTACAGTTACTTAAAGCTAACCTTTTTCCTCTCTAATCAAAGGGGGTTCTGAGTTCTTCCTTTATGGCTAGAACAGTAATAAATGATGCTCCTGTATCTGTAACGTAAGTACTGCTGTCTGTCAGTAATGAACTTTGCAACTTTGTTTTCCAAAGTACATTTGATTTTCATCTGTCCAGTATATTGCACTAATTATTTTAGTTATTTTCATTATATGAAATTACCAAGTGTGTCAGAAGAGATTCTATTTAAATGTTGAACTGATAGCAGAAACTTGTGCAGATTTTAAATTTGCAGTAATCTGGTTTAGCAAGGATAATGACAGTTCACCAGTGTTTAGTTTTATATTGAGGTGCTCAGGTTTGAATAAAGTGGTTTAAGAAGAAAAAAAAAAAGATTTTTGATTACTGTTTCTTATTGAGAGTTACAGGTTTTATTTCATTTGCACAGTTCCAGACAAGATGTCTGTTTTGCTATATGGGTCAGTGTTTAAAATTGAGTCATTTTGTGACACAGCTAAACATAAGCTTGTACTGTATTTGCTGTGGCACTCTATCTTATGATAATTTTTTAAATGTTGAGGTAATTGGGTATCTTATCACATCCATTCAGAAGTACAACCAAAACGGTAACGTTATCTGTTGAACCTGCAGCTAATGCAGTCTTTACGAGTTGTTCACTGATGTAGCTTGCTGCATTGTTGTGGACTGTCCCAGAAGTGGCACTGCCTCTTCCTGCAGTTTGTGAATCACAATTGGATGGGTGTATGTTTGTGTCCTCTTCAAACTGCGGTGATGCTTTAGAACCCACTGGTGATGCAGTCTCCAGCAGTTCTTGACCAGTGTGACCTGCAGGTTTGTCACAACATATGTTGGAGTCAGTTTTTTCTGCCGGTTGTAGACCAGAGTCAAAGTTAGATAAGCATGCATTTGTATCTTTTGGGGGCTGTTTCATGTCTTCAGACCCTACTGCCAGTACATTCTCTTGCTGCTGTTTTTGGGTGCAACTTGGATCTGTTATGCAGAAAGTGTCAGTGTCTGTTTCTTCCTGCTCTGCAGTCTGTGACTGTGGCTGAAAACTCTTAGATAGATACACTTCTCTGTCCTCAAACTGTTTCAGTTCTTCAGAGCCACCTTGTGTGCTAGAATCAGACTGATTAATCTCTCTGTTCTGTGAACTTACTTCATTGCTACTGAAAAGAGAGAGCTCTGGATCAGCTTCATTTTTGTGGTCATCAGTTTCCTTGGGAAAAATGTCTTTACTGGAATATAGTATCTCTGTTTCATCTTGCAGACCATTAATAGCCTTTGAGTCATTTAAGTTGTCATCAGTGAGGGGCATCAAATCCTGAGACTTACACAGCAAAGTTCTGTTTTGTTGAATACATTCATACATTCTTAAGTAACGAGTGAACGTTGTTAGTGTTAATGCAAGTACTTCATTGTAATCCAAAACCTCCCAAAGCCCATTAGAAGCTAAAATAAGAAACTGACAAGTATCATCAATAGGGACAGATACAGTATGAGGTACAGGTATAACAGATCTTTTCAGTACTGGATCTCCATGATGTCCAAGACCTCTCGTAGTTCTCAGGTACCCCTCTACTAATCCATCTGGTTCATTAGTGCTGATGATTCCACCATTCTGAAGTATGCGTCTTCTCTCGCTTACATTAGAAGTGCTGTGCTCTTTTGAGAGGCAGTGACTCTTTCCATTTCTACATAAGACTGCATGTGCATTACCTAAAATTGAAGTAAGATAATATTTTTAATTGTAGCATAATGTTTTTTAAGATACTGCTGTTACATCACCAGCCTGTTACTACAGTCTGGGAAAAAAGCTGAGGTCATAGTTCAGTTATCTACTGCCACAGGCAACAATGTGACCATCAGTGAATTTGGTTCTATATTACTGCAGAGTTTTCTGTGGGTTTGTTTGGGTTTTTTTCCCTCCCATTATTTGTAAGACTATTCCAGAACCACCTTCTTTTGACTGCAACTAAACTCTTCTGAGGAGTTAAGTGACATTTCAGCTTAAAGTAGATAAAGTGATGCACCTTGAGTTTATTTTAAAGCAAGAGTACATATTTTTCACAAATACTACCTTTTCCTAGGATAGTGTGTGCTTTCAAAATATTATGGCTGAATGAATTCATCACAAAGTTTCAGGTTCAGACTATTTTTAGCAGTATAAAATTTATAGTACCTGAAAACAATTTGGACGTTGTATATAAAATTTACAGTTTACTAACATGATGCCTTAAATCTCTTCCTCTTTTAAGGGGCCCAGGGGAGCAAGAGTTCTCTCAGTCATCATCAGAAGTTAAGGACTAATTTCCCTTAGTAGGAATAGATTCTTTCCCTCTATGCTTTTGAAATCTGCAGGGTAAGAATGAAAAGTGTTAAAAATTGCAACACTGCAGGTGACTACTCTTGTCAGACTCGAATACAGAGCATAAAGGAAAGCAGCTCTGATACAAAGTGATGTATTGTTTGAGATCCTCTGGCTACACAGGTGAAAGACCTTTTTTTGTGTTACTGGCCTGCTCCCATGTGTTGGCATAAGGGCAAAAGTGATGTCTTGCAGAAGGAACTCAAGTGGGATGGTAGGTTTCCAGATGCTAAGCTGGCCACAGTGTGTTCATTCATATTGTCTTTTTAATATCTGGCTAGACTAAGGCACAGATTTCTGGAAAGTGTGTATAAGTAGGCACTGCTTATAAAGTAGCTGTATTTCTTGGGAAGTATTGGCATTGTTTTATGTAGGAGACAGCCAGGAATAGTTTGTATGAAGGCAGATTTCTCTCGAAGGTGATTCAGAATATCAAACTGGAGGGCACACCTTTTTTATTGATTATAGAATGTAGATGCCTTAAGTTACGCTGTGTGAATGTTTCCTTGTGCTTGCTCTCTCCTTCTGATTTCCATGGAGAGCTAGAAGATTGTCTAAAATTTCCTTTGAACCCTTGGAGTAAGACCAGCAGCTGTAAGCCTAACAAAGGGCACATTTATATAACCCACATGGAACAATTTGACTGCAAGAAAGGAAAATCTAGTTGCTTTTGGATGCAAGTCTCTTCTTTGCAAACCAGGGACAAGGTAAAAGAATTGTCAAAAACTAGCTGACCTATCAATGTGGGACTAAATGAAGACAAAGCTGGCCGATGCCACCATCTCCTGCTCCTCATCTGAACATCCTCTTCAGTTGCTTACGTGGTGCTGAAGGAACATGTCTACTTCTGTAAGAACATATTACTGGGGGGAAAATGAAGCTCGATGTTGTGCAAATCTTTCTTTTGATGTGATACGTTTGGTGGAAAAATAAGTGTATTAGATTCAATAAATGTATATTTAGAAGTGGTTAAAAAATGTGGACTTCATGATTAAAAGGCTTAAAGTATCTCTGATCAAATTCAAGCCTTAACTACTTGGCAGAGCTTGAGTTAAAAGTATCTTCAGTTGCAACCAGTATAAAACATTGGGAGGGAAGAACGGGAAGCATGTAACTAGATCCATAAAACTTAGGTTGGATGAATTCTCTACCAAATTTTCTACCTTCATCCTACCTCATTGGAATAAAAATGGAGTTCTTCCCCAGTAAGGTGGAAAAAAAAAAAAAAAGGCATTAGTAAGCAAGAATATCTGAGCTAGTGCTAAACTAGCAGTTCTGGTACCGGTAACAGTAAAGTTCTAGTATCTGCAAAAATGCTTGTTGGATGTAGAGATAGTATGGCTTGTAGCAACAAAGTGTTAGGAGAATGGAGGAGAGCAAGGGGAGGGGATAGACCACAGTGACCTACTTCACTCTCAGTGCATGATCAAGTTGGTTTATAGCGCTCCTCAGACTGGCAGAGGATTGTACATGATTGTTAAACCAAAAAATTCCCTACTGATCTTTGACCCTCTTGATTAATTTCAGACAAATTTCACAATAAGAACTCTTAGCAGTTTTACGAATACACTTAACTGAGGAGGGAAGAGTACCCTGTTGATGGGAGGTTGCAGTGTGAATACCCTCCTTAGTAATGCTGGGGGGAGTGATAGAAAAGTGTTACGGTGCTGGGAATGTGCTTCAAGCAGAGGCTAGAGACACTGGAAAATACAATTGTAGGCACAAATAAATTTGAAACTTTTCACCCCATAGCTTTTTTTATATAATTCTGCTTCTGCACTCCTTTATGGGGAAGCAAGCATCTAGCTAGTAATCTTACAGCAGTCTTATGTACACAACATAACTGGTAAGAAAAATCACCAAATGGGGAGATGTAATGACTAGAATTGCGAAGAACTGCAAGAGCTGTTGCATGTCACAGGACTGGGTGGAGAAGCATTAGGACTATCAGTGTTTCTGGTTGTATTTAATAACTGGTTTTCTACACCATATAAAGACAAAGCAGGGTTCTCCTTCATAAGGAGACATGCCTGAATAGATCTTCCATAACAACAGTCAATAACAACAAAATCCTATTTCAGAAATTAATTCAGATTATCCCCACAGATCATGTTTTCAGTTTGCTGGTAGCAAAATGTGGTGGCACTTAGTGAAACAAATTAATAAAAGGCGTATATTAAATATGATATGTTGACAGAAGGGATTTATCAGATCTAAAGTAAAAACATTTAGGATTGCCTGCCCTGAAGTGATGACACCTTAAGCTTTGCTTGATTTAAAAAAAACCACCAAAAACCAACAACAAACAAACACCTAAAATTGTCCTTGCTGCTCTTACAGAAGTTAGTTGTGTATTATGGAACATTTAACTGTGTCTCTTGCATTAATAAATTTATTGGTTTAAGTCAAATATCACATTGAAGGTACTTATTAGATAAGCTTAATAATTACTGCCTGATCCCACTATCGGTTACAAGGAAATTATCATGTCTGCTTCAGATTTTCAAGTTAAAGCAATTGCAGCTTTTTATCTTTTAAGTGTCTACTGCTAACAAAACTCTAGATTGATTTATTTATTCTCTTTATATTGCACAGTGAAAAAAAAAAAAAAGGCCTGGAGTAGAATGTACCTACCTATATTAGCAATGTGCAGTAACCCTTTGGCTGTCCTGGCTATTGGACTCTGTGTGTTGTTCTCAGAATATTTTCTTTCCTCTTCCTCAGTGCCATCTGTCTCTTCACTGGGGATTCTTTCCACCAAACAGGTAACTGCTGAACAGCCACTCCAGCGAACTTTGGAAACCTCATTCCTTCCCAGACGTAGGAGTCTATCCATTCTCCAAAAGGACTTGGCATATGCTTTGTGAATCCATTCGTAAGTATTAGTCTTGTTGGTGTCATCATTGTCTGGTTTATCAGAGAAAATCTTCTCTTTCTCTCTGTAATCTGCATTGATTACTGTGGCAAAAGAATCTAGAATTTGCTGTTCATCCTTACTCTTTTTGTAGGAGAAATCTGTTTGAGCAAGCTGGTCAAGGAATAAAAGTGGAAGCTCTGCTGCAACTGTTTCTGCAGCTGTCGCACCATGAGAGCCATCAACTAACCCCAGAAAACATGTATCTGACCTATTTCCATAGTTGTCAAGCACAATAAATCTGTCTTCCATGTCTCTCTGCCATGTGGAATTTTTATCTTGGCAAATTGATAACGCTTTTATTAAAGAATTATTTACTTCCTTAGAAGTACTAGAATTGTTAACGTTAGCAAGATCACAGTATGATGTAGTAGTGTGATTATTCATAAGAAATTCAAATGAATAATCAATTTTCTGCCTATGTGTCTCAGAATATTTAGGAGTCTTGGTCAATTTTGAAATGAGCTTTTGTCTCTGAGCTAGAAGTGTTTTTTTGTCAGTCTTTCTTTGTAGGCTATCAAAGCCCAGCAAAGCTAGAGCTTTGTGGGATTTTTTGTGATAAAGAAGGTGGTATGGATATATTGGTTGTTGACACGCAGAGCAAAAAACTGAAATTAACTTGGAACCATCGTTTTCAAGTGCAATTGGGACCTTCTCCAGCTGATCCTCCTCATCTTCAGAATGTTCAAAATCAGATGGGTTTATTTTCTCTTGTGACTTTTCCTCCCATGTCATTCTATAAAGGAGTTGAGTATGTTAAGTTTTCACATTTTCATATTTCAATATTAAGTAACGCTACATTTACCTAAGTCTTGTTCCCAGTCTCTTAAAAGCATACATTGTCAAGAAACTGGGAAATTCATGTGAGTTTATGTAAAAATTGTAACTAGTAAGTATGGTAAGAATCCCTAATACCACAAATTCAGGAAGTGTAAGGTTTGGAAATACAGCGCTCATGACACAATTTACAATTCTTGTACCTAGTGAGATGTAGGCAGTTGTTTCCTCCTTGTGATTCAATGTGTAGCCATGTGCCTTCACACTGTTAGAACTGTAAATATTAAATAGTTCCTCATCAGGTTTTCTGTATCTATTAATCACTTTCCAGACATGGTAGTGGAGTGTAATTCACACTTGGGGGGGGGAAGAAAAGAGCATAATCCAGATTAAGATGAAAAAAATCATCACCAGTCTTGCATGGGAAATAGGAAATGGGGCCATAAGCATTGGTGTACCTCTTCAATCAGATCTCACTCGCGCTGTTGTGACTCTTAGTTGTGAGGATTTTAGGAGTCAGCTGGAAAAAAAATTGCTGTATACCTTTGTACGTATGCACACAGAAGATAAATTAATATGGACAATATTACAGAATCACAAAATATTATGGGTTGGAAGGGACTTAAAAAGATCATCTAGTCCAACCTCCCTACCAGAGCAGGATCCCCTAGAGTACATCACACAGGAATGTTGTCCAGATGGGTTTTGAATGTCTCCAGAGAAGGAGACTCCACAACCTCCCTGGGCAGCCTGTTCCAGTGCTCTGTCATCCTCAGAGTGAGAAAGTTTTACTTTACATTTGCTTGGAACCTCCTATGCTGCAGCTTGCACCTGTTGCCCTTTGTCCTATTATTGGACGTCACTGAGAAGAGCCTGGCTATATCCTTCACACACTCGCCCTTCAAATATTTGTAAACATGAATGATGTCACCCCTCAGTCTCATCTCCCAGCTAAAGAGACAAACCAATATTCTATTGTTTTTCTTGGCTATGAGAGCTAGATTTTGCAATGTTCATATTTCTTTACTGTAGGATGAATTTTTGAAAGTGCCAGTTTCTAAATCAAGAGAGCATAATGCAGAACAAAAATATTAAATAGGCCAAGTGGTGTTTGAGCTTTTTAGTCTGTGGGAAACCCTCCTGCTCCTTGAGTTGCAAGACTTGCAAGCAGCAGTGCACACTCCTGTGCTCCAGCCATCGGGAGGGAAGGAGAGATGTGCTTTGCAACAGAGCTCACAGAAGAGCAACAAGATGGAAAACCTGGAATCAAGGCCAGATACTGCAAGGACATAGGGTGTAATCAGTACAAGTCTCTCTGCCCATTCCTCAGCCAAAGCTAATCTCTTCTTCCTATCCCTGTGCACCTTATTTCTGCCACTTTACCTCATTGCTCTAGTCTCTCTCTCCTTAGTCTTGCTCCTTGATGCTGTCTTACTTCTTGAGTCCTTGGACTCCACCCTCCTGCACATACGTTCTCTCGAATATCTACTTCCCAATATCACTCCTACTGCTAGTGATGGGGATGTGTGACACCTTCAGTCCTCTCCTGTTACTAGCAAAGGGAGTACTGACAGTCAAGATGAAATATGAGACAAGTCATAGGTACGGCTCCTGGTGCTACAAACCCCAGAGTCCTGGTGAGGTGCTCCCTGACAGAGGTCAGTGGGTGCAAAAAGAAATGCCTGAATTCAGCACCTACATACTGGCATGTCTCTACTCTGCAGAGGCAAACTGATGCTTCTTTTCAACACTAACTCACTTTGATTTGGTTAAATTTATAAGAATGACAAAAGATTCATCACTGATGCTATCTCAGCCAAATTTCCAAGCTGTGGTTTGAAATCTTGAAGATTGTCTATAAAATAGTTTTAATTTTGTGTTAATAAAAGCAAACCAAAATATTTTTCACATCATATTCTCAGAAATAGCTAAACTATGTTACCTGGAACACTTTCAAATTGTTCTGCTTCAGGCTTGGAAAAATTCAGTATAAACAGTATCTGGCAGAGTTATAAATTACTGAAAATATGAGGTGACACTATTGGTAGCAGCACTATTAATTCTGCCTGTAACTTAAAATGGGTAAGATAACACATATATAACATATGGAGGAAATACCAATATTGCTAAGGCAGTAGAGGAAATTAAAATTGTTTCAAGTTTGTTATAGGTTTTTATTCTCTCTTCCAAGATTTTTGATTTACAGTTAGTCTTTGTTAGCTGCTGTTAATCCACCACCAGGGCAAACAGAAGCAGTTTAGCTGTGGTAATTATCCCACAGCCAGATTACAAGAATAGTCTTTGGTAATTTCATACTGTTTCAACCTCATCCATTTTCTGAGCCACTCTCTTAAAAGTTGATAGAGTCACACCTAGAAGTAACTGTTTTGCAACTGTTATCTCCTCCAGGTCTTCAGCTGGGAAATATATTTTCTTCTCTCTTGCTACTTCTCTGCTCTACCTCTGGACTATAAACATTGCCATGATTTGTGTTTCAACGCTTCCACTTTTTCCCTGTGAAGACAGTTGTTTGACAAAATTCCACTGAAGATAAAACCCCAACCTCTTCCAGTGCCAATTAGTATGTCTTAAAGAATCAAGTGCCTCTGATCAGCTGAGGTAGATCAATTATAACATTTAAAAAATAAAATCTCCTCTGTAGAGGATGATGCCTACTATATAGTATTAGCAGACCCACATAAAAAACCCTTATGACACTAGTATACTTTGTCTTTGCAGAGGTGAGGTTGCAGGTGGCTACAGCTCTCAATCTGCTGGAGGACCAGTTTATGGGAGAGTCCATCTCTCCATAAGAGGTGAGCATTAACCTCCTTCAGAAATGCTACACTACATCAGTGGGGCAATATGAGGAGGTATGTAAATAACAATAGGACTAGAGGAAATGGCCTGAAGTAACACCAGGGGAGGTTTAGACTAGATATTAGTTAGCTGTGGTAATTATCCCACAGCCAGATTACAAGAATAGTCTTTGGTAATTTCATACTGTTTCAACCTCATCCATTTTCTGAGCCACTCTCTTAAAAGTTGATAGAGTCACACCTAGAAGTAACTGTTTTGCAACTGTTATCTCCTCCAGGTCTTCAGCTGGGAAATATATTTTCTTCTCTCTTGCTACTTCTCTGCTCTACCTCTGGACTATAAACATTGCCATGATTTGTGTTTCAACGCTTCCACTTTTTCCCTGTGAAGACAGTTGTTTGACAAAATTCCACTGAAGATAAAACCCCAACCTCTTCCAGTGCCAATTAGTATGTCTTAAAGAATCAAGTGCCTCTGATCAGCTGAGGTAGATCAATTATAACATTTAAAAAATAAAATCTCCTCTGTAGAGGATGATGCCTACTATATAGTATTAGCAGACCCACATAAAAAACCCTTATGACACTAGTATACTTTGTCTTTGCAGAGGTGAGGTTGCAGGTGGCTACAGCTCTCAATCTGCTGGAGGACCAGTTTATGGGAGAGTCCATCTCTCCATAAGAGGTGAGCATTAACCTCCTTCAGAAATGCTACACTACATCAGTGGGGCAATATGAGGAGGTATGTAAATAACAATAGGACTAGAGGAAATGGCCTGAAGTAACACCAGGGGAGGTTTAGACTAGATATTAGGAAGAATTTCTTTACTGAAAGAATAGTCAGGCATGGGAACAGGCTGCTCAGGGAGGTGAAGTCACCATCCCTGGAGGTATTCACGGAACATGTAGATGTGGCACTTCAGAGCATGGTCTAGTGGGCACGGTGGGTTTTGTCTGGGTTGTGTCGTGGTGTTGGTTTTATGGGGGGGGGGTGGTTTTGGTTTTTGTTTGGTTTGTTGTTGTTGGTTTTGGTTTGTGCTATTGTTTTTCTTGGCTATGAGAGCTAGATTTTGCAATGTTCATATTTCTTTACTGTAGGATGAATTTTTGAAAGTGCCAGTTTCTAAATCAAGAGAGCATAATGCAGAACAAAAATATTAAATAGGCCAAGTGGTGTTTGAGCTTTTTAGTTTGTGGGAAACCCTCCTGCTCCTTGAGTTGCAAGACTTGCAAGCAGCAGTGCACACTCCTGTGCTCCAGCCATCGGGAGGGAAGGAGAGATGTGCTTTGCAACAGAGCTCACAGAAGAGCAACAAGATGGAAAACCTGGAATCAAGGCCAGATACTGCAAGGACATAGGGTGTAATCAGTACAAGTCTCTCTGCCCATTCCTCAGCCAAAGCTAATCTCTTCTTCCTATCCCTGTGCACCTTATTTCTGCCACTTTACCTCATTGCTCTAGTCTCTCTCTCCTTAGTCTTGCTCCTTGATGCTGTCTTACTTCTTGAGTCCTTGGACTCCACCCTCCTGCACATACGTTCTCTCGAATATCTACTTCCCAATATCACTCCTACTGCTAGTGATGGGGATGTGTGACACCTTCAGTCCTCTCCTGTTACTAGCAAAGGGAGTACTGACAGTCAAGATGAAATATGAGACAAGTCATAGGTACGGCTCCTGGTGCTACAAACCCCAGAGTCCTGGTGAGGTGCTCCCTGACAGAGGTCAGTGGGTGCAAAAAGAAATGCCTGAATTCAGCACCTACATACTGGCATGTCTCCACTCTGCAGAGGCAAACTGATGCTTCTTTTCAACACTAACTCACTTTGATTTGGTTAAATTTATAAGAATGACAAAAGATTCATCACTGATGCTATCTCAGCCAAATTTCCAAGCTGTGGTTTGAAATCTTGAAGATTGTCTATAAAATAGTTTTAATTTTGTGTTAATAAAAGCAAACCAAAATATTTTTCACATCATATTCTCAGAAATAGCTAAACTATGTTACCTGGAACACTTTCAAATTGTTCTGCTTCAGGCTTGGAAAAATTCAGTATAAACAGTATCTGGCAGAGTTATAAATTACTGAAAATATGAGGTGACACTATTGGTAGCAGCACTATTAATTCTGCCTGTAAC